TTTTTGTCACGTGGTTTTTGGTGTGTTTTCCTTGTTTATTTTTCATTACGCATTGTGATTCTTGTACTACCAAAACAAATCTGCAATTCAGGGTCAAGGCCAATTCTCCAAAAATTTGCAAAGTGCAAAAAAATATCGACGACTTTTTACGACTTCCTTTATTTCTTTGCTACGTCTGTTCCTTTTACTCAAGTTTTCTAAGAAACTGTGTGTTTTTTGTAGTCCTCTTCTTCTTTTCTTAGAGCTCTGAGATTTGTTTCTTAGTAGCTTTTTGTGTCTTTCGTAGTTTTTAATAATTTTGTGTTTTAGAAAATTTGTGTTTTGATGATCAGCAGAAAGAGTTGAAGATTTAAAAATGTTATTATTATTATTATTATTATTATTATTATTATTAATTTAAATTAAACTTTTAAAGATAGATTTGATTGATCTATCTTATGATGCAGATAGCAAGTTCAAATACATTTGTTATGTGAGAGATTATTTTATCAGATTCTTTTAGGCAAAAGCAATAACTTTGAAGCAATTAGTTGAAGTTGCCACCTATTTCTTTGATCACTTTAATTTTATTGATCTCCTCCTATAATACTCCAATCCGATAATGAAAAAGAGTTTTGTGCAGAAGTAATTTATGAACTTGTGGCATTATGGCCATCAATTAAGCTTATAAATGGAAGACCCTGTCATCTCTAATCACAGGAGCTTGTTAAACATGCAAATAGTATCTTAGAACAGAAGTTGGGTAAATAAAAAGAAAATACTGGTCGAACTAATTGGTTATTTGGATTAAGATTGGTTATTTTAGCTATAAACAATTCTTGATATAGGTTATATAAGAAAACATCATATGAGCTTGTTTATGGTAATAAACTTCATAGCAATTGTACTTTAGTTAATGAATTATATTTAAAAAATATTTATAATGAGAAGAAAATTTCTGATACAATTCAAATTCAAAATGAAAATATAATAAATCTGGACAAAGATATGGAAGGTAGTTTTGTATTTAAAATTTTTATTTGTATAATTTTCTACCTTAATATTGTAATTAAATAAAGATCTTTTAGATCGACCATTATATAATGAAAATATTATTTTAAACCAACAAGATTTAGAACTATTAGGTTAGCAAATGTATAATATATGATTTATTGTATAATAACTATTTATTAAATAATATTCAAATTTCAAATCTTTAGATCAACACCAACAATCAAAACCCTTAGATTAGGGTTTAGGGTACAGAAGCATGAGGCATGCCCCTAAGAGCATGCCTCAAGGCCAAAGAGCATGCCCTTATCATGTGATATATAAAGCATACTTTGATTGATTAATAAGAGTAGATACTTTAAACATTAATTATTAAACCAAACTTGATAAAAAATTTTTTATTTTAATTTTTTATAACTATATAGAATAAAATAAAAAAATTTTTATTAAGCTTGGTTTAGATATTTAACTTAATGTTTAAAAAAATTTACTTAGAAACAATTTGCTTAGTTTCTACTAACACCTCTATATTAAGTTTTTAGAATGTTGCGAACTCGTGAAATATTAGTTATATGATTTAGAAAGGATATGCCTATAGATATGAGAAGTATGCCTCAGCACAAAGCATGCCTCTATGGGCATGCTTAATTTTTCCCATACTTTAAACCCTACCTCAGATCAATACTTAGAACCCAAAAACTCAAAATCTTCTAATCAATATGCAAATTCAAAAACTTCAATTTATTATAACTTGAAATTCCCAAACCAATATAATCTTGAATCTTCAAACCAACATATTTTCGAATTGTCAAACCAATGTGACTTTAAATCTTCAAACCAACTTGACCCTGAATTACCAAACCAACATAACTCTGAATCTCCAAACCAATATGATCCTAAATCTTCAAACCAGAATAGCTCAAATCATATAATTCAACATTCAATTTATTACAACCAAAAACCTTTAATTCAACACAACTCAAATACAACACAACAATCCAATAATAGACAAGTTTTTATGGAGATTACAAATCAAGATCCTATTAATTTTTATAAGATTTTACAAAATAGTGCATGACAGGACCTTCAATTATATACTGATCAGATAACCAAATAAATGCTAAAAAAAAGAAAGATTGTAGATTTTTAAGTTGGTGATCTTGTACATATTAATGTTCCAAAAATTGATAGATTTGGGATTGATCACCCTTCACTTTCCTGCAAAATTATAGAAAAAACTAAAGAAAACAATTTAGGTTGGGCTGTAAATTTGGAATTATTAATATATATTACTCTGCAGGTGAACTTGCAGTACTCAGAACTGTTAACTGTTTCGAACTTGATGAAATTCTATCAAATGTATTGTTTATCAGAGAAGCAGCAAGGCTTCAACGTATAGGGTCAGTTTCAAATACTTTTGTAATTGTAAAGGTTCTTGTGACAGTAATAAATGTCGATGCACAAAGATGAGAGGAAAATATACAAGCAGATGTTATATCGGAAGGTCATATTTAAATAAAAACTGAAATTTATATTGTTGTAATGCATTGTTTAATAAATAACTAGAGGATGCAGATATGGGCGGCTTCGCCGCCCGGTTGAAGCTGTTATAGTATTATTTCTTAAAAGAAACAATATATAATGGTTAAATGATATTATATCAGTAGATTTAGATGCATT